AAGTTGAAAAGAATGAATATTCCTGGTGGGATGAGCAACTAAAGAAAAGGAAAAACAACTAAGGAATCAGCAACAGGAAAAGAATGCAAGGATGGGAATAAGTCAGTACCTCTCAATAATAACTTTCAATGTGAATGGCTTCAATTCTCCAATCAAAAAACACAGATTGGCATTATGGAACGAGAAAAAAAAAACAATATTCAGTATACAAGAATACGTTGAATTCTAAAAGAAATTCACATGTTAAAAATAAAAGGATGGAAAACAATATCCCATGCAATGGGAACCCAGAAAAAAAGCAAGAGTAGCTATCTTAATTTTAGACAAAGTTGATTTCAAGCCAGGATGATTGTAAGAGAAAAAAAAGGTCAATACATATTGGTAAAACAAAAAATTCAACAGGAAGAGATAACACTTATAAACATACATGCACCAAATTATAAGTACACCCAACTTCATGAAACAAACACTAAGGGAGACTAAAAATAAGATAAATACCAAAACAATTGTAGTAGGAGACTTCAATACCCCACTGTCACAAATGGACAGATCAACTAGACAACAAATCAACAAGCAAATATCAGAGTTAAACCAAACCTTCAAACAAATTGACTTAATAGATATGTACATTGTTCTATTCAAAAACAATAGAATACACATTCTTCTCAGCAGCACATGGAATTTTCTCCAAAATAGACCACATAGTAGCCCATAAAGCGTGCTTAAGTATATACAAAAGGATTGAAATTATCTTATGTATAATGAAACTAGAAATCAATGGCAAAAGACACCACAGAAACTATGCAAAACATGGAAATTAATACTCTTGAATAATTAGTGGTCACAGATGAAATTAAAGAAAGAAATTAGACAGTTCTTATAATCAAATGATAACACCAGTATAACATACTGGAGTCTATGGGACATAATGAAAGTAGTCTTATAAGGGAAGTTCATAGCAGTGAATTCCCACATCAGAAAAACAAAGCAAACTCAAATAAATAACCTAATGATGCACCTCAAGGTCTAGAAAAATAAGAAAAATTGATACCCAAAGTTGGTACAAGGAAGGAAATTACAAAGATCAGAGAAGAAATTAATGAAACTGAGACTAAAAACAGTAACACAAAGAATCAATGAATTGAAGCATTGGTTCTTTGAAATATTAAATAATTAACAAAATCTTAGTCAATCATACAAAATAAGGAAAGGAACCAAATCCATTCAATTGGAATTGAAAAGGGTGAGCAGGGTGTGGTCGTGCATGCCTGTAATCCTAGCACTCAGGAGGGTGAGGCCAGAGGATAATTTTGAGTTTGAGGCCAGCTTGGACTACATAGTAAGTTCAAGGCCAGCCTGGACTGCCTAACAAGACCTTTTCTAAAACAAAACAAAATATAACAAAACCTAGATACATATATGAACTAGCAAAGCTGAACCAAGAAGATATAAATATCATGAAGAATCCAATATCAGTCAATGAAATTGAAGAAATAATTCTTTAAAACTTATCAATTAAGAAAAGCCCAGCTCCCTGAGGAGTCACTGTCAAATTCTACAAGAACTTTACAGAAGATCTAATGGCAATACTCCTCAACTCTTTAATGAAATCCAAAGGGAAGCAGTACTCATTCCTGGAAGGAAGTATTACTCTGATTGCAAAACCAGAAAACTACCCCTCAAAACAACCAAACTACATGCCAATCTCTTTAATGAACATAAAAGCAAAAATCCTCAATAAGGGCTGGGGATGTATCACAGTGGTGCCACACCTGCCTGGCAAGCACAAGGTCTTGAGTTCAATCCCCAGTCAAAAACAAAAATTCTCAATAAGATACTAGCAAATGGAATGCAGCAAATCATCAAAGAGGTCATCATGACCAAGTAGGATTCATTCCAGGACTGCAGGGATGGTTCAACATATGCAAATCAATCAATGCATTATACCACATACAGAGAAGCAAGAACAAAAATCACATGATGCCGAAGACCAGCTGCAGTCGATGTAGGGTAGGAAGGGGAGATGTCTTGGGATGGCAATGAGAAAAGAACCTTCACAAGCAATGTTCAGGTTCCCTCTGAGAAGTCTCAGGGTCTGATTTATTTTTATATCTTTAAGCAATAGCTGGGAGGCATTGGGCGGAACATGTTTACATTTTAAGTTGCCTTAGCAATTT